CACAATATATATATATAAGTATATGTATCATAATAAATAAATACAAAAAAGACAAAAGAAAAAATGAAGAAAATTAATAAAAAAAATAAGTTTTATTTATTGCGCATAAGCTGCAAGTAAACAGAACTCCATACTTGCCAACTTTTAATCTCTTCCTTCTATGATTTGTCCCAGTGGTATTAAAATGTAATTAAAATTTCAATTTTAAGCACACAAAAAAAAGTTTGTATTTGAAAAAACTTAAGATGACAACCGTGATAGTAACCCATATTAATATATATGCTTAATTTTTTAAGAATAGTGGTGATCAAAATCATTTAAAAAATAAGTTTACGAAAGAAAAATATAGTATAATATAGTAGAAAAATATAATTTACTATCACTTTTAATATAAAAATAAAATTTCACGCCAGATGCGTAAAAGTTGGCAGGTATGGAACTCATAAAATAAAGTTCAAAAAGTAGCGAAAACGCGTAAAATGTTACAGAACAATGAAAAAAATAACACAACAATGAAAAAAAGGGAAAAGAAAATAATAATAACAGTAATAAAAATAATTTAAAAAATTATCCGAAAAAAGGAAGAAAAGAAATCCGGGAAATAAAAGATATAACCTTTTCATCAGCTCACACGATTATATCCGCAAAAAGGAATGCTTTCTAATATTGTATCAATAAAGCCGAAACAAAATGTAACGATACAATAGTGCGAGGAGCACAAAAAAAATCTTTTTGAGGCAAATAGGATTAATATTATGAAACAAATAGGAACACATTAGGTAAAAATATCACGTCAAAACAGAAAATAAAATGTGAAGGAAAACAGAACAAAATATAAAACGAAATCTATAAAGAGAGAAGCGAATTCAAATGAATTTACATAAAAGGGTAATTTTTCAAAAATGATTTAAAATATATTCGTAACAAAATTGAAAACAGAAGCGCTAATTAAGGTAAAAGCATAAATAGAGGGGTCTTGTTTTATAGTACGTTCTTTCTGCAGTACTGAAGTGCGTTTGATTTGTTAGTTACCAAGGAAGGGCCCGAAAATGGATGAGCGAAAGTTAATATTATACTGGATAATTTAAAGAAGTTGACAATAAATAATTTTAGAAAATTAACTTTTATTCAAGAAAAAAAAAATAGAGAAGAGAAAGAATCATGAATTGCCTGTTTTAACCATAATTTTAGCCATGGATTTGCACATGGTAAAAATTACAGACCTTAACTCTCGGTGGTTATGACTCAACACTAGCGGATATCCAACAACAAAATCCAGGAGTTCAGACGACGTCTTCATTTACAGATGATCTCTTTGTTCTAAATTCTTGTGATGTCTCCTTCGGTCCCCTGTATACCTCTCGCGGTATTTATTGATCACATGATTTGGAGTTGCCACCCACATGAACGTGACTAAAAAATATATAAATTAATATCGTGGTGTATTGTAAAAAAAAAAGAAGAAAAGAATAGACATTTAGGTACTTCTGTAAAATCCCGTCAAATATTTTCGCCAAAACCAAAAAATTGAAAACTTCATTTAAGTAAAAAATTTTGCAAAAAAGCTGTACGATTTTTTTTTTCAAACTTAATATGCGTTTCGATTATATAATTTCTATTTGAAATGTAAATTAAATATTAAACAGCGTATTACCTATCCGGATAAATGATCACGTGTCTTAACAGTTCTGATGAGAAAATAAGAAAAATTTTGTGTTTTATATCAAAATTTTATGTTAATCATGGTGCCATTTGCTTGTTAGATATAGAAGTATAGATACAGATTGCAATAGTATTATACTATAGATATACTGTCAGACATAGATTTGCTCGTAGTACTGTGTATCTACAAAATGTTTAAAGGGACGTACTACAGAACAATTACAATACATATCAGAGTCACACTTGGTTAGATTTATCTAGTTGTTATACTATATACCAAGGATATCGGGAGAATACAGTTTTTCTTCCAGAACGGATAGACGAGATGGTGGTTATGTGGAGTACTTACAGAAGTAGTGACTGGAGCACAGTGGAATACGGACTCTCACAGGCTCTGGACATGAGTGCTAATGGAACGTGGCAAATGCTTAACAATAGAGGAGCTCACCAATACGTCCACACAGTTAAGTTGACCGATTTGAAGAACGCCACCCACTACTGTAAGTATTAACCACATGAAACTAGTTAATGAAATATTTTGAGGTTTTTCTTCTTATTAATAGCGGGTCACTGCGTGATTTCGGGTCAATAAGTTTAACTATAGTTTGTCTACGGTAAGAACTGCTATATAGAATGGTGAAGTCTGAGACCATCTGCTGCTATGGAAACAAGAATAGCGCATTTCAGGGAGGGTAGCTTCTCTTAACTTCAGGGCACACGCAACAGACCGAAGAAAAAGATTCCCTTTCTCCTGCCGACCTCGGCTAAAACCAATCCTAAACAATGACCTCAGACCCCTACTTAAAATAGTTATACCTCGTTACCATAGTCACAGCCACGGGTCCAGACGAATAGCTAGAGGAGTTCTTACTTTAGACAAACAATAGTTTATCGCTCATTTAATAAGAAAAGCCATTTATTTCATCACATCTCAGTGGATGAAGGGACAATCTTTGAAAATTCTGGCAATTCCACAGATACCTGTGGATGAAGGATCTAAGTAGACAATCTTTGAAAATTCCGTAAATTCCACACTGTAAGAAGTTTTACAGTATAGTTGCCACCATTTTTGGTATTGAGGTTAACTAAATGCATTTTTAAGTACATAGCTATCGCGCAGAAATTTTATAAAACTGACAAAGTAACAATTGTTTGAAAGAATTAGCGGGAATAAAAATGTGCTTGTGTTTTTAAAAAAATGTTTTTGCAATGAAATTGATTCCGAAGCGCATGAAAATATGCTTTCTAATCAAACAAACAAACAAACAAAAAATGAGTAATAAATAAATAAATAAAACTATAACACTGTAACTTCCTCTGTTCTGAATAGGCGTTTAAAAAATGAGCATTAGCCGTTGTTAAATTAAACTGATTCTGCTTTTTTTTCCTTAGAAATATTTTAAAGATAATACCCGCGGCTTTTCTAGCTTGTAGCCCCATTTAACCAAAAAAGAGTTTCGTTTGAAGAAACTGTAAAAAAATTTCTCACTGTCATTAAAGCTAGTGATCCATAATTGATTTTGGTAATACGTACTAATTGAAACAAAAAAATATATAATTTGTGAACTAATACTCAAAATTATTGGCGAAAAAGTGTTTAATCGTTTTGGGAACCCTAAAAAATCACCAAATTTTTTATTAACGCCTAATTAGTTTTGATAACAGGTACTACTGGTATTACAGAAAGTTTTGGTTTTTTTAATAAGCACGAAATGAACTATAATAAGTTCGAAGATACCTACTATAGGTACAGTGGAAATAAATTTTTTATGGTCCCTCGAAGGGTCTAAGTATCTGAGAAAATTGCTCGATTGTAATAAATTTTGACAATCATAGGAGGCTCGCGAGCAATAACATCATGCCAAATGATGCTGATAGCAGTTAATCTTCATTTTCATTGGATGAATTTCTAAAGACATATTTTGCCTAATCTAATGATATAAAGCCACTGGAAAACACATAAAATAAATATAATTTTTCGTAAAAAATTTTAATTATTTTAGCTTTAGTAATTATGTCAGTATGTGTCTTTCAGTTTTTTGTGTGATTTCGTAATCTTTAAAAATAACGACTTTTCGATTTTTTCTCCCACCTTTTTCAAAGGGCAGGGTATTCAGCTAGTATGCTAATTTTTGAGATCCTATTACGTAAAAATCATTCGAGCAAATAAGTTGATTGATTGAAATCTTTTTGGCTCACTGTACATCAGGGGTGTCAAACTCGCTGCCCGAGATGAACATTTTTGTGGTCCAGTCAATATATCCGAAGGAAAGTAGAAATAAAGTAGACATGTCAATTGGAAACGAAACCAGCATATAAAATTATAATATACTTTATTTATAAACTATAAGGATCATTTTAAATCGAACTCTCGAAAATGTAAAATTCTAATTGGCTGAAATGGAGTCCGTTTCACACTAAGCTATCAATTAGATAGTACATATTCAGGTTTATCCTACTATAGCGAGGTACGTTGGTTATCTTGCTCCAAGGTTCTCAAACAATTCTGGTATTTGAAAGAAGAAATATGTAAATTTTCACAAACTAAAAACCAAGATACAAGCTTGTTCTGCGATCAAATATGGTTGCAAGATTTATCTTTTACGGCTGATCTAACCAAACACTTATCCGATTTAAATTTATTATTACAAGACAAGGATCAGATCATCACGAACATGCTTGACATAATTAAAGTATTCAAATGTAAACTATTTCTTTGGGAAAGGCAACTGAAAAATGAAGATTTAAAGCAAATCTAATTTAGATGATATTGCATCGTATCAAAATACGCAGAAAAAAAAATTCAAATCTTAGAACAGAATTTGAAACAAGGTTTCTTCGATTTTCTCAGTAAATATAGACTCAGTAGCCAGTTACATGCAAATAGCAGTGAATGAGATTCAGTGCGACTCAAATTTGAAGGCAAAAATCATTGAAGTGAGTGAGCCTGAATTTGCCTGAAGCCTACCGGCAAGGTTTGAAAATACTCGAAAATTCGCATATGAAATTATTTCCATGTTTGGAAGCACTTATCAGTGAGAACAATTATTTTCTGTTATNAATTATTTTCTGTTAGGAATGGAAATAAATCTCCTGTCCGAAACCGTATTAATAACGCTCACGTTGAGTTAATTTTGAAAGTAGTCTCGGCCAATAAAACTTCTCCCGAAATGGAAAAGGTAGTAGCAGAGAAGAGATGTCAAGTATCAGGACGTAAACAATGCTTTAACTTTATATTTGTTTATTACAATTCAAAATAAAAATATTTGTTTTCTATGTACATAGTTTTTTTTTTTTTTGCGGCCCACCTATAGTTAAGAATTGTTTATTTGGCCCAAGTTAGCTTTTGAGTTTGACACCCCTGCTGTACATGGTAATCCGATTTATGTACTCAAAAGTTATTCAGAGAGAAAAAATTTGTTCTTAAATTCCCACTAGATATGGAAGTGAACGAAAAGAATTGCTTTTAAAATGACATACTAAACCGGAATAAAACTCCTGTCATTTAAATCATATAAACTTATCAATATCTGATCCATAAACCACACCTACTAACCAGAATTTATTCCTTTAATTATACTATAATATTCAATACTCTTTCTCAGTAGCTTTACAAAACTAGATATATAGAAGTTATACTAGATAGAAAACGTTAGACCTCACTATATCACGAATATTCGTTTTTATCTCGCCTTAGATAACAGAACATATGAACATAGCACTTTCTTGAATTTTTGGCACTCATATATCCGTATCATTGCTGAAAATTCAAGAAAAGAAAGCAAGCAAATTTTTTTTTTAAATAAAAAAAAGATTCGTATTTTTGAAAATACATTGCATTGCAGTTCAGGGTCCTTCTCGTAGCATTAAACAATGAACAATATTTTACGGTTTTTTGGAGTTTCACTGTTTTTCAGGAATTTCGTCATTTCTTTGTATCTTGAAGGAATCATTGTTTTTATCTTTTACGGGACTTTCTAGGGGTGTCCCGTATTCCTTAAAATCTATTCTTTAAAAGCAAATAATAATAAATGAAAAAATGGAAAGAAACAAAAAGATACAGTCACATTATTAGACGCACTATAAAATTCTATATAAAATCTTAATTATTAGGTGATACTCTATACAGCTTTACGCGGTTTGCACACTTGTTTACGTTCGGCTATCCATTGGTTAATTTAGACAAGATATATAATATAAATTTGACGATAGGATAAACTAGAAGATATATTATATAAATAATATAGAATATTTATTATATCAAGCATTATATTAGTATATTATAATAATTAGACCAAACTATTGGACGCACTGCAGTGTTTTAATAATGACATGTTTTGCACGAGTTTATATAGGCAATAGTTTTATATTTTAAAACACACTTGTGATGGATTTATATTCGGGAGATTTTTTCTTATATACTTATTTATAACGTATTGCATTACAATGACACTCTAACATAAACAGGGGCTTTGAGCAGCTGTATAGACCTGATCATTAAGATTTCACATAGAATCTTAGAGTGCGTATGGCCGAGGGATGTGCCATACAAAAAAAGTTCATTGTTTCAATCAGTTATATTAAAAAAATTATGAGTTATATTGTTTATTGAATATATTCGGTGCTGAAGGTCTATTTTTATGCTCTTCTTGGAGAACAGATTACCGGTGTGGTGATGGTGTAGAGTTCAGTGGTGTGTACAAGTTCCGTACCCTCCAGAGGGGGAGTGATTGGAGACCCCGAGTCATCATTTATGGGGATCTCGGATACAGAGATGGAACGTCGACACCTTCACTCATTGAAGAAGCTCTCAATGAAACAACAGACTTCATCATTCACAATGGTATCCGAGTAATGTTTATATTCTCTCATATTATAAAAACAGATTTTAATGATGTTTGAACTTGTATTTTGGAACAGTCCATGTCATGTTTGGAAGGGAAGTTCTTGAAATCGTGATAGTTTGTGACAAGAGGGAAAAAATTTTACTTATTTTTATATAATTCGTATTTTTCACCAAAATAAATACAAACCCCAACCTATAGTGTTGTTATGCTGAAAATAAACTGCAGAAAATTTACAAAAAAAAAAAATGCGGTTTGAAGACTGTTTCCAATTCCGCGACAAAATTTTTGAAGTGGAAACACTGCAAAATGACTGCAGTATGTAAACTGCTGTAAATTTGTAGTAGTACCAACCTCAAAATTTTATACAAGAAAATCAGTATTTAGTGGTGCCATCTATCGTGAGCGATAAGAAATACTATAGCTTTTGTTTTGGAAAGAAAAATTCGCAATTATTTTCATTTTTTAAAATTTAAATCAAAACAGAGAGAAAGATCAACAAACTTTTAACTATCCATATTTATGCACATGAACGGTTCATGAATGTGATATTTTTAAGAAGAATAAATCTATCCTTACATAAGGAAAGGGGAATCAAAAATGAATTTTCAGAAAACTTAGAGTTTCTTTCATGTAAAAAACAAAATCTATTTGATATTATACTTGAAAAAATAAATTGCGGCAAGTAATGATGCATTAGGAAAAGTATATATTATGTTATAAAAGCTCTTTAGTGGTAGTTAAATATTTATTTTATATGCAATTTACGAGTAACAATTAGTACAACTAATAAATGCAGCATGTTCCGAAAAAGTCGCCATTCATAGGAATCCTTATTAAAAGCGAAAAAAAAAAGGTTTCAAACGAGGAAGAAAAAAAGACGTGATTAAAATGTGACAAATCACAGTATAAGAAGCGAAAAAGACAAGTTTGATTGGAGTCAAGAATTCTTGTTTCACTAATCAAAAGTCAAAGATATTAGTTATAAAATTTAAAAAAGACACTGATAACAAATTAAGAGGAAGGGTACATTTATAAAAATTAGGTAAATGCGTGGCAGGCAATGGAATGAAGTTTGGGTAGCTTCGGTAGGTATATTGATTTGTTGTTGGTATTGTGGGGCAACTACCATTATTATGCATCGATTCACTAGACTTATGAACTCGATTCTATCTTAAGCTACCTTTTGACAGGCTGTCGAAAGCTCATACCCCGCAGTATGATAAATTTGTTTTAATTTTGCTTAATTTCGCTAATGTCTCTTTTGCCTAAACGTCCCATTTTAATGTCTATTACATACGCCTTCCACTACTGTAATTTATTATAAGATTTTGATGGCATTTTCTTCGCTTAAATATCAATTTGAGACCTCCATCACGAAGCATCCCACGTAACAAAATGCAGTAACTCAACGTTTTATTCTAAAGTGATAGTTTGCTTGTTCTTTAAAACTAAATGTCTGTAGTACAGTATTTTTCATTAAAAACTGTACCATTTATTCACAAGTGTTTCAACTTTTTTTCTCTTTAGTTATTTATGACTGTTTTTATACATTCTCAAAAAATCAGGACAAATATTGTCAATCTGTATTCTTTTGTTTATTTTTGTAGGTGATATTGCATATGACTTACACACAGTAAGTAATTTCTTTCTTTTTTTAAGATATGAGATACTCTTTTTTTAATACCCTTACCTTTTATTGTTTTTATTTCTCAATAAGTATTTCATTGAGCAAAAGAATGCGTAAGATCAGTCAGTACAGGACCACGAGAATTTATTCTAGTGAGAATATATAAATAACTAGATGAATTAACCAATAATTATTAATTATTATTTAAGGATTAAAGCAAATGTGGATCCTCATAAATTTAATAAAAAGTAGCGGCCTAAACTGAAAGACCTCGAAATTTTTTCTAGAAAACCTCCCTAGTGGGATAAATCCGGGTACACGTATTAACTCTATGAGAAATTTGAAAATACTCGGATTTCAGTAGCATACATTTCTATTTATAACATTTAAAGAAAATTATACATGTCATTTTCAATTGACGCAGTCAAGGCCGTATTCAAAGGAGGGAGGGGAGAAGGAAGAGAGACAATTGTCTCGACTGAGGGCCTGTGACCGTAATTTCATAAGAGTATCGTGCTTAGTATCTATTTTTTTTAAAAAGGAAATATAGCGAAGAATTTCTTTATATCTATATAAAAATTGCAATTTTGTATAAAGGATCTTCAAAATTTAAATATAAACCTTTTTTATGTTTTGGAAAGGAGTCATAAGTTATGTCCGTAAAACCTTTGGTCAGTCTTGGATACACAGTGAAACCTGCAGGAAAGACCACCGGCGGCCTCCTCTGTTTGTGACCACTTTTGGAAGACACGGAATTTTTTCCTTAGACTTTGTGTTTAAGAAAACCTTTAGGGGAGATCCTCCCCCAGCAACCAGGCAGTCAAACCTCTGCACCAAAAGTGGAAAAGGTTGAATAAGGAAAAATGAAAAAATATCAAAACAAAATAAATAAGTAGATTCAAATGTATTCAAAATATTTGTGAGTAGTTCTTATTTAAAGAGCTCTTTTTGACATTCTCTAAAAGAGATTGACATGTTGCAGAAAGATGATGCTATCAATGATTTATTTTTAGAGTTGAAAGTTAAATTAGAAGGAAAGCAAATTCATTTTTGAAAAAAAAAAACTGAGTATATCGAGCAAACGAACCTCATTCAAAGCCTAATATATTATGTAAAATTAAATGCAAACTTAAACAAAAAACATAATTGTTTATTCATTTAAAATAGCTTTATCATTCATAATTTGTTTTTACACATAATTATATTAGCGAAGGTCATTTTTATGGACGCTAAATTTTATTCATCATTCCGGTTTTCATGGCACAAACATAAGCGGCATTTCTGCTGCAAGAAAATGAAACTGATTAAAATTAAAATTGTTTGGGGGAAAATCCTGTACCTTCGATAACAATTTTGAAGATAATGAAGGTAACAATTAATCTCTATTAACAACCCTTTTACTTTGGAAAACAGAAAGTGGGAGCTCCAGGGAGGTTTTCTTCCTCTGCTGCACCGCTGCTTTCGTGGACTCAGAAAAGACAGAATTTAAGAGGGCAGCGGAATGGGTACCTGAAGAGCAGAAGTTATTCTAGCTTAACAGAACATCTATTAGGCTTAATTGTTTGTTGGGGTATTAATCTCTCGCAAACGTATAGTAAGCTGGGTTAAAAATAATTTTAATACCTATGATTCATACATAAGGATTGCTTAAGAATAAGAGAACATTACGGACCGAGTAAAACAAACTTAGCTACATAGGTGTCGTGAATTAATCAACAACTATCGTAGAAAATTTTTCGTGACCAGTGAAAGGAAATTTAGAGTTCCAAAATGCTTATCGGAAGAGGTATAGGAATTGGGATTTTAAATATGAGGTCAAGTAAAAATAAGGAAGGAATAAAAATTGTAAATAACTATTGTTGAGTCAGAGTCGTAGTTTCTGATAAGTTCGGTATCGGAGCTAATGTCAGATATTTCAACTATCGACTCCACAGTTCTGGTAAAAGTATGATCATATTACGATAGGACAAATAATTTTTGTCCTGATTTTATTTGAAGAGATAAAATTTGCTATAAACTCCGTCTGCAGCTGTTTTTATTTAAACAATCTCTAACAGGGTATTACGTAGTAGCCGCCTTAAATGTATATTTTTAGAATATCCATCAATCATTCTTGATGACAAATTAATATTTTAGCGAAAAATAAGTAGAAGTGTTATTGAAATTTGACGAATCCCTACGGAGGCAGGCGAGATTAAAAATATCATCGGCAGTTCGACTAATAGAAAATATTTGATAGGTTTCTGACATTTGTCTTTCACTTCTTAATTTTCTTCGGTAATCAAACTGTTTTAATTATGACAGCTTTTTCAATTGTAAATCATTAAATGGTAATAAAGGTTTTATTTTCCCTCTTATAATCCAATCTGAAATTTACACACATGTATTTATGTAAATAGTGAACTCAATTTTACAGAATAACGGTCATGTAGGAGATAATTTCATGAACATGATCGAACCCGTTGCGGCTCGACTTCCTTATATGGTCTCCGTTGGCAATCACGAAGCATTTAATTGGTAAGTTATGCCACTCATTGAGACATTGCATTTACGTTTTTTTCTTCTTTTTTCTATTGAATGTTATTATAGCAGTTTCTTTGTTTATTCATCAAAACTCCAATAAAAAAGGAATGTTTTTCAATCAAAATATATGAGTTTATCAAGATTTCAATAATTAAATTTATGATTTGTATTTAAAAAAACGTAAGAGCTGTTTTGGGTGTTCAACTTCACGTTGAATTTTGCTTCGCAAGACTTTGCAGCGAAACAAAGGCTGCTTAATTTGATTTGATTTGATTAATACCCTAACTAAAAGTATCCGGTCACCCAGAGGTATGGAGCATCCTGAGGGACGTGATGTTTCTCTCGCCTTTTACATCGATGACAGCCTTCTGGGAAGACTTTACTCCAGTTTCTGAATAGGATGTGCTTGCAGTGAGGATTTGACTGGAATCTGCGCTCTCATTCAGGTTTTGAACACCCATTTCGTCAAAGCACATCTGTGCAAGCCTCGATGCTAGAAGAGAATGGTATTGCCATAGAGTTGGGACTGCAGCATTGTCCACATACATCTCAGAGTTTGTGTTTCCAACCACAGGAACTAACGGAACCCGACCAAACCACGAGAAACAGCCCCCACACCATTAAGCTTCCACCTACATAACAACCGAGTGTCCGGATACTTTTGGCCGGATAGTGTATAAACAGACTAAAAATTAAACTGTAGTTTGTTTTGTATAACAATTATTCTTTGTTCATTCATATCCTGCTGGTTTCCAAATATGACTGTTTTTCCTACTAACAATGTGGACTTAAAAGACAAAATTCTTTGATATCTCCATACCATAGCAAAAAAAAAAAAAAAAAAAAAAAAAAAAAAAAAAAAAAAAAAAAAGACTTGTAATTAAAAATAAATAATTTCATTTTTGTTTTGTATTTTTAGGAATTTCACGAATTATAAAACGAGGTTCAATATGCCTGGGACAGATGACAATCTGTGGTACAGGTAAGAATATTTATGTTTTCCACAAAAATATCCCTCCCATTCGAACTGAGAATTTTTTTTTCGCTTGCGTAATTAATTCTAGTGTTACGAAGAAAAAAAGTGTGTTTAGGACCTTATTTTTCACAATTGCAGCTCAGTTCTTTGGATAAAATCTAAATCCATCATTTAATATTTTTTTTGAAATTTAAAATGTTCCACCTCTTCTTTCTGTATCACTTAAAATAAGAGTCTGTGAAAATCCAATCAAACGTCACTCTAAGTGACTCATTATGCTGACTGTTCTTTTGAATAATATTAAGCCACACTCATCAAAGTAACGATAGTTAAGGGTGCATGAAACTATGTCTGATGCAAAAACAAAATGGTGAAAGAATGACAAAAGGAAGAAATATCACTAAGTTACTTCAGGTTTATAAAACCTGTATTTACCTCAAAGAAAATGAATCCCTGATTGCTTATTTTTTAATAACATAAAGAAATAATGCAATGTCTTTTGAAATCTAGCTTCAAGGCAGGACCCATCCACTTTATTATAATAAGCACCGAAGTTTATTTCTTTCTACTTTATGGTGGTCTGGATGCTGTCAAATCTCATTACAAGTGGTTGGACGACACACTCACGGTCAGTATGACACAACATGTCTCTCTCTCTTATTGTTATTTTTTTAAAAACAAATTTGAGTACAGTGAACTAAAATGCATCCCCCTGAATAACTTTGTATCGATTGAGCTAAAATGTAATATTAGTATTTTATGAGTAATTCCTAGAAACTATTAGTGAAATAAATGAAAGAATTATACCGGATTGTGAATGAACTATAAGCTCCAAGAATACGACATTCAACAAGTAGATTCAACAAGTAGAGTACAATGTAAGCAAATTACGAAGCCCAATATTCGATTTTTTTAAATTATATTTCTAATACAGAGACATTTGAAAAATGGAATTTTCTCATTTGCGTAGCGGAAGACATTGTTCTTTTTTTTAAAATACAAACGATTCAGTTTTGTCAAATATTTTTAAAATAACATCAATCAAGTTAGCTTATAACTCTAATAAAAAAAAAGCTGTTTATTGCACTTTCTGTAATACCTAATTACTATTTTTCGTTATGCCAAGTTATCTCAATGATCAACGTGATGACTGCAGAATAGGCGAACTACATCACCAAATTATTATTCCTAAGGTTTCCTGGAACCACGTGTTCATTTAGTTTGTAATTCTGCTTTTAAAGCGTGTCACTATAAAACTAAGTAATTTAAAATCAACGGTAATTGAAAGAAAAAAGGATTTTGTATGGCAAAAGGAATGGTAAAATAAAAGTAATTCGTGAAGGATAAATACAAAAAGAAATTATTTTTAGTATTGACGCCAAGGATAGTTAATTTTGGTAAGAGTTACTACCTATAGTCAAATATTATGATAGGTACTAAAACGCAAAATGAATGGGAGAAATATAACAGATTCGTTTAAGAGAGCGTTATAAAAATCAGTAAAATGTTATTGATGTCAATGATACTTCATTAATTTTTGTAATAGGTAGGGGAGAGTGGGGTCAATTGTAACATTTTTTTCTTAACTATTTTTAATTAACAAAAAATCCAATATATTATTAGTATTTATTGACAGACGTGTAAAGTAGACTATCCTCTACTAGAAGAAAAATAAATACCTGATTTTAAATACTATTATATTAGTTATTAACAATTTTTGACAGTCGTGCACTTGTTACAATTGTCCCCACTTACGGGGTCAATTGTAACAGTTCATAAATTCAACTAAAACATAGTTAATTATACATATTATCATAGTTGTGATATATTTTTTTGTTGATCAAAATAGTAGTGATATTTTAGGAGTAAAAATAATAATGAACAGAGACCTAAAGGGTTAAACTTTTAACTTTAAAGGGTTAAAAATTTTAATTTATGCTGTGAAAGGTGACAAATAAAATAATGCACATGCAACATAATATAAATGATATAGGAAACTATTGGTGGTTCTTAAAGAGTTAAGTAATGGTTTGTAAACATAAGATTATTTATTTTCAGCTGTTACAATCGTCCCTTTACTTATTGTTACAATTGTCCCCAAGACGCCATTTCAGCTTCATTTGTTAAAAACAATGCTAATTAATTAGCAAAACTAATCTTTTTTTTATTGAAATGTTAATTAAGGTGTCCACTTACATATTCGGTTACTAATTTTTATTTGTTTAAACAAAATTACTTTGTTATAATATAGTATTCTAATACCAAAAAAAGTACTTGCGTGGCGTGAAAATATCTTTTGCGATGTAACTCTTTCAAAAGTACATAAAAATGGTTGCCATCAGGGGTGTACATGTAGATTTGTTAAATGCACCTTGTGCGCCACCTAGGAACCAAATCTAGAACCCGACACTCGAAATTTTTGCTCTGTTACAATCGTACCCTGTTACAATTGACCCCACTCTCCCCTACTGATTGAAATAAAAATAAGCTGTGAACTAAAAAACAAAATCAATAGAATATTCCGTTCGTAATGTCCTTTCAGGAAGCTACATAATTCAATCTGTATGTTTATTCTACGGCACTCTAGATACATACTTTAAATTAATAATATAATATTTTGAATCAATACATATTTTAATCGAGTTCAAAATAAGAGAGAAGTCATCTTTTAGTTCTTTTATCGACGATTTCATATTCTATTCATGAATGGACTTTTGCTATTAAGAAACCAATAGGAAAATAAATTTTTTGAAAACACCCTGCCTGCATTTTTATATATTTGAAGGAGCAGCCACGACGTAAACCAAAAGATTTCCCATGAAATGGGGGAAGCAAAAAGTGGAGTATTCGTGAATTGCAAGCATGAAACGCTTTAATAAACTACTTCTAATATTCTATGAAAGGTCGGAAATAGGCATATTTAAGAAGGAAAAAATTCTATGACGCAACTTAATAAAAGGAAATTTCGCAAACAAGCAAGATATGGAAGGAGGAAAACACTTTTAAAGTTCATTCTTTAATAAGGTGTCATTTATTTTTCTCCAAATGAAATTAAAATCGCTTCATTTTAACATTACTCCATTCGAAAGTAAACAAAAAGATAAAACATTTACGATTCATCATAGTGTCCGTTCATTGCCAAGAATTGTTTATTAACTTTTATTTTATTCTATTCAGAAAAGCATACGTTTAAAAAGACAGTTTTTCTCATTTATTATTCCCATGTTTTTTTTTAAATCTCAATTATAATTAAAAAGGTTTAAAACAACGTTAGATGAATGAATGACTTCAAAGAAATACAGTGATATATTTGCTTACAAACCTCTTCATAATTTCCAAATATTTAAGCAATGATTAAGGAAAAAGTAATTTTAAAACGATTTTTTTTTTTGTTCTGCCAGAAAAATGAAATAAAATGTTGGTGGGTCATCGAGTTGCTATAAAATATTGGGAGTAACTTAATAGAATCGAGAGTTCAGTTTATTGATATTATATTCATATTTTATATCTTAAAATGCGTTACAAGAATTTCTTCGAAGAGAAAATGAATGAAAAGTGGGAGGTTTTAATGTAACAATTCTAGCATCGAAGAAACCGCCGATTATCAGCATTCTTAGAAGAAATTATGGCAACATTTTAAAGAAAAAGTACATTATACCTGTGGAATTAACTGATGAGACTTTATCAATTCGATTTCAATAAGCTACACATTCTTTTTCTCTTATCACTTCTTATTTGATGTAATGTAGAAAAGAAATAAATAAAGAAGTCTAATTTATCTAAAAGTATTCTATATGCCCCAAAAAATTAGAATGATACGGCTTTTTGGAATTCTAACTAAAAGAAATGGGTTCATATTTAACTTTTCTCACCTGTGAAAAAGTAAGCGCTAGGCTTTCCCGTCTGGTTGAATAATACAATTTATTCCACTAAAGTTTTATTTTTTAAAAGTTATTTCATTTTGAAGCAAATTGTATTTTCTCATTTTATTCTCTTTTATGTTTAGCAAGCCAATCTTCCACATAACCGGGCCAAGTGGCCGTGGGTTGTAACGCTTGGACACAGACCTATGTATTGCTCTAACACAGCTCTTAGATACTGCAGACTTGAAACTAATCCGGTAACTTTCATTTTCTTTTCTTGTTTACTCATTTATTGATTCACACCTTTATACAACATTCATTTCTAATCGTGCAATTTTATATTTAAAAAAATTAAGCCTCTGTACCATTGGACGAAAAGAAGCAGTGCGGAATGAGGAAGTTTTTGGTACTTAGAAATATTTTGAGGTATTTTAGACTTAGTAATATTTTCCTGTTGTTTGAACTTTGAAATACACTGCTCAAAAAAATTAGGGGAGCACATGGTTTTAATGAAATTACGCAAATATTTACACCGATAAGTAACAGAAAAGTAATCATTTATAACGCAAAACCGAGCAGTAAAAAGAAGAAGAAAACTTCATATGCAAATAAAAGTTCATGACGTCACAAACCAGAAAAGAAGATAAGAGCAGAAATCGGGATGTAGCAGAGACGTCTGTTTCACTGCCGTAACTCACAAAGTTGATTTCTCAGATATTGTTTTCGAGAAAGGGTGACTTGAAAATGTCTCAACAACGTGATTTACCTGAATCCATTGCATGGCGCATCATCGGCAGACTTGAATCCGGGCAAACACAACGCATTGTGGCGGACGCTGTTGGAGTCAGCAGAAGTTTCGCTGTAAAGCTGTGGAATCGATTCCAAGAGACTGGAAATGTGAGTCGTCGGCCAGGGCAAGGTCGGCTACGTGCAACAACTGCCGCTGATGACCGGTATATACAGTTAACAGCTCGTCGTAACAGAACAGACAATGCTACTCAGCTGCAAAGACAGTTTCTCGTGACAACAGGACGAAGAGTTTCCAACCAAACAATACGGAATAGGCTCCATCAGGGAGGTCTCTATACTCGTAGGTCCATGGTCTGCATTCCATTGACCTCAAGCCACCGTGCGGCTCGCAGAAGATGGGCTGCTGAACATCAAGATTGGGAACAACGGGATTGGAGCCATGCATTGTTTACAGACGAGTCTCGATTCAGTCTGGAGAGTGACACCCGACGTGTTTTGGTGTGGAGGGAAAGGGGCACTCGAAATAACCCCACTTTCATTCGTGAAAAGTCACACTACAGACAAGCTGGTTGGATGGTGTGGGGTGGAATAAGCATAGGTGGACGTACGGTCCTGCATATCATTCGGAACGGTACCTTGACGGCCCGCAGATATGCAGACGAGATGTTGAAACTTCATGCCATACCCTACGCAGCAGCCATTGGAGATTCCTTTGTTTTACAAGATAATAATGCGAGACCACATACAGCTCGTCTTGCGGAGAACATGTTGGAAGCTGAAACAATACAGCGTATGGAATGGCCAGCGCGCTCTCCTGACCTTTGAAATATTTTGAGTATTTAGACTTAGTATTAATTTTAAACTGTTTTGACATAGAAAAATTCTAAAGTTTTTTGAACTTAGAAATATTTCCATGGTGTTTGAACTTAGAAATATTTTAGTGCAGTTTAGACTTAGTAATATTTTCAACTCTGAGAATAGAGAAATTCTCTGACATAGAATAATTCTGAAGTTTTTTGTACTTTGAATTGTTTTGAATTATTTTAGTTTTAGTATTAATTTTAAATTATTTTGACATAGAAAAATTCTGAAGTTTTTGGTACTTAGAAATATTTTGAGGTATTTTAGACTTAGAAATATTTTCCTATTGTTTGAACTTGGAAATATTTTGAGGTATTTCAGACAGTATTAATTTTAAACTGTTTTGACGTAGAAAAATTCTAAGGTTTTTAGAACTTAGAAATATTTGGAAGTACTTTACACTGAGTAATATTTTCAAACTGTATTGACATAGAAAAATTCTGAAGTTTTTTGAGCTTCGAAATATTTTCATGGAGTTTAAGACTTAGTAATATTTTCAAACTCTTTTGACTTAGAACAATTCTGAAGCTTTTTGAACTTAAAAATATATTTTGAAGTATTTTAGACTTAGTAATATTTTCAAACTCTTTTGGCTTAGAACAATTCTGAAGTGCCTTGTACTTAGAAATATTTTTATCCTGCCCGGGCATAGGTCACCATCTTTCGGGTCCCAACGAGTGTGCTCGGACTCCGCCCAACCGATGAATCGGACAGGACGGGTCGTTGGTGCGCCCCCCGCTCGGAGGCGAGGGGATCTCAACTCAGCCGGCTTCGAGTCTGGCCTTTGCTTTCATTGCTCCTCTGGGCCTAGTCAAGACCCGTAGACTCGCACATATGTTAGACTCCTTGGTCCGTGTTTCAAGACGGGTCGGGTGGGTGACCGATCTACTCGATGCCAATCCCCGCCCTTCGACGGGTTTCGCGCGGTCACTAAGGACCCCAGTCCACAAGCCACGGGCTCGTCCCGTGCGCAAGCAGAAAGTTCTGTAAAAGACTTAGTAATATTTTCAAACTCTTTTGATTTAGAACAATTCTGAAGTTTTTTGTACTTTGAAATATTTTGAAGCATTTTAGCTTTAGTAATATTTTCAAACTGTTTCGACATAGAAAAATTCTGAAGTTTTTTGAACTTAGAAATATTTTGAAGTATTTTAGACTTAGTAACATTTTTAATCTGTATTGACATAGAAAAATTCTGAAGTTTTTTGAACTTAGAAATATTTTGATGGTGTTTGAAATTTGAAATATTTTAACGAAGTTTAGGCTTAGTAATATTTTCAAGTCTTTTGACATAGAGAAATTCTGAACTGTCTTGAACTTAGAAATATTTTCATGGTGTCTGAACTTTGAAATTTTTTAAGGTATTTTTAGACTTAGTAATATTTTCTAACTCTTTTGACTTAGATCAATTCTGAAGTTTTTTGTACTTAGAAATATTTTGAAGTATTTTAGACTTAGTAATGTTTTCAAACTGTTTTGACGTAGAAAATTTCTGAAGACTTTTGTACTTAAAAATATTTTTTGTTGTTTAAAATTTGAAAAACACTGAAAAATATTTATCGGTAGTTTGAACTAAAAATATGTAAAATTTCTTAATCATTTAAAATCTTTTTTCGGACACTGTAGTGTTAGAGAATAGGGCAATATTGAGCCGAAACAATTTTTGCTTCTAAATCATATTATGAAGCCTTTGGAGCCATTTAAAATAGTTTATTTTTGAAACCATTCATTGAGATTCACTTACTTCACTTTAGGAGATGAGTCACAAAAAACTGCTTACAAGACTTGTGAGTGACTGCTCTAATTTTAGTGAACAGATAAGTCTCCCAAAAATGACCCCTGTGTTTTTAGAAAGACAAGTTACGTGGCTTTCAAGGAATCCATGTTGTTACTAATGTGGCAACAAAGTTTCTTGGAGACTCTAGTGCCAGTAAAGAGTTGGCTTGACTAGCAACTGACAAAATTCGTAATAGTTAGCGAAACTTTTATGTGATATCACAAGATATATCAAAATAACACTATGACCTCATTAGGGCAATTTAAAACGGTCACACCTGCGACTGTGACTGTTGTGATCATTTTCAACTTTTTACTGACGTTTCTTTAACTGTCTGGGCTCTGTGGGAACCAGCATCAAAAAAATTCTGGAATGAATAAATGAAATTGTAGTTAAGTGCTATTCGCACTGCTGTAGAAGTATAAGGTATTTCGTAGTTGCCACCCTTCATATATATTTTTAGAAATTATTGTTAAAACTCTCGTAAGTCTGAGATATCCCTACTGAAAACATCAAGACCCAAACCCGTTTGATTGCAGGTTTATCAGAAACAGAAGCCAGTATCATCTGTCAATCCTCTGTAGGGATTCGTTAGATTTGAATGGTGTTCATAGTTTGTACACTAATTTTATCCTTTGCAGGTTCATTTTTTTTCCTGAAAAGAAATTAATTTAGCTTAATACCTAAAATAAATTATTTCCTACGTCTTTTATTTTTGGTTGAATGGTGGATAGAAAATTTGACTTGTTAAGCATTAGCGTTGCTAAGAATAAGACAATAAACGATTTTTGTATTTTAAAACACAGGTGCGTGTGGGTTTCCTGAGAGTGTATGGTCTGGAAGAGATCCTCTACAAACACGGGGTAGATGTCGCCTTCTGGGGTCACAACCACTGCTATGAGAGACTCTTCCCTACCTATGACGGTGAGGTATTAAAATTCATTCCATTTTTCTATATCAATTTGTTTAAAGGTTAACTGCTTCCCTTTCCAAATTGTTTTCGAATAAAAATTCAAAAAAATCAACATATTTTTTAAAATTTCATTAATAAATACAGGGAAGTATACCAAAACATGATACGCAAGTTTTACGTAGAATTTTAGAAAAAAATTTATGTGTAAAAAACATTTAATTTACTAATCCGAGTTATCTCGGGTAAACGAAAAAAAAAGTTAAATATTAGTCTTTTATGATCGTTCAAAGAACAACGCAAAAGTGATAATTACCAAACACTAGTGAAGTGTTACGCCATTTTTGTTTATTCTTTTTCTTTCTTTGTAAATTCAGTAACCATCGTTAATGCAATCGCACAAAGTGTACAATCCAACAGTAAAACTACCAAAACAAAATTTGGCAAATTTCCAAACGCAACAGATTATGTTTAGTTTGCTTCAGTTTGAGTAAAAACGTGATAAAAGTAAAACGTACTGACACATTCTGCTACGAACGAGTTTTCTCGGGATTTGCAACTTGACTCGGGATAATCCGGGAAACGGTTGATAAGATTACAGCTCTAATCCTCTGCAGTGTAGGGGATGCGCATATCCTGACTGACAGAATTCATTTTCAACGAATTCAATTTCTTTTCTACTCCCAAAATGCCTACTTCCGAATTGCCACACTTCATTATATTCATTCATACATCTTCAGTAGTTCAGACAATTTATGTTTGCTTGGAGGTGGATGCGAATTTTACACTGTTTAGATTAGAAAAATGACAGTATTTGAAATACCAGACAGTTGAAAGAAGAAGGGGGAAAAAACCAGCAGTTTAAGGAATAGAAGTCAAGCATACACAGCGAAATTGCACTTAATATTTAAAAAAATGAAACCGTGAATGATGTGAATAGGGTTCATTTCTTATTTTCTAATCCCACAAAAGAAAGGCCACAATCCTCACTTAACAGGTAATTGAAGTAATCTTGCGTTTTGGAACAAAAGTCTTGACTAGCTTGAGATTTTATTATTTGGTAAAATAATGCATTCAGATGACAAAAATCTGTTTCTATCTCACGTGAGATCAAATTAAGTTCTCACAACTTCATATATTTTGTTTTCTCCGTGATTATTATTTTCACGTCTCTTCCGAACGATATATCTTAAAAATTGAAAGGGAAAAAAGGCCCTGCCTGAAATGTGCATATTTTAGATTATTTACTCTGTTTTCCGAAATTTTATTCTATTTTTCAGATTTTGAAGCACTAGTACCCGGCAATATAATACGTATTCCAATTTAAATATTTAGGGTCAATATAGGGCCATGTATAGTAACCTAACCTATAAGGCCACATTATGGGACCGCTATTAACCCTATAATTATTTCCTCTGGTAAGGTGCACTTGCACCCGATACTACAATACGTGGTCCAATTTGAATAATTAGGGTCAATATATATAGGGGAGATATAGGGCCATGTTGTAATGTATAATATTAACTTTAAATGATTTTTAACATAATTTTTTTGAAAAAAAAATCTGTACTAGGATTTTCAAGTTTTTATTAATGCTATTTGAAAATGGCTCTAATAAAAGTAAATTTTAATTTATTAAAAAAAAAGTTACTAAGATTAAAACCTTATGAGAAAAAGATGTTAAAAAAAGTCTCGAATAGCATTTTTGTCACGAATATAGCATAAAAAGAATTCATTTGTTTCTCAAATGACTCTTTTACTCTGCGAAATCAAATTTCTTATTTAACTAAGAGCTTCATCTACCATTCTTCGTTGTGTATTTTGTTTCGGTTAACATTTAAATTGTGATCATCATTAAATATCTCCTCCACTGCGATTCAACAACATTAAAATACAATGAGTCATTATGGAAACTTCTAGAGTTTGATCACGATTCAAAAGTTTGTCTACTTTGATTTTGAATAAAAATTATTCCGAAATGAAATAATTCAACAACAAAAAAAGATTCCAAAAACGTAAATATGAAACTTCTCAAAAGAAGATTAAAACTTTATAAAACAATGTGAAGATTTCTTCTTGATAAAATTAAAATTAAATAAAAACAACGTTTAAGAATTAAAAAAGGTAAAAAGTAAAAGAGTAAATTGAGAGTGAAAAGAAAAGGAAACTAATAAAACCTGCACGCGTTTCAATATGTCGCATATTTACATCTTCAACAGTAGGACGAATGGCAAAACCTGCCATTTGTTCCGCTGTAAATATGTGACATTAAAACACGTGTAGGTTTCAATAAAAAAATTTTTTTTTTGATTTATGATTTTTGAACGTTGTGTTCAAGCTATTTCAGATTTACACGACTTATATTCCATCCAAATGTCATTATCATTAAAAGATTTGAGATAGTTGGAATCAAATCAAAGCGTTCTAACTCTCGTGATCAATCAAAGAACAAATCAAAGCGTTCAAATTTTCCTATTTTCTCCAGGAGTTACACCAAGGCGATTGCAACACTGAAAAAAAAACTGATACGCTACGTTTTTATTAATAGAAATAAGAGTAACTGGTCTTGCAAAATTGTGAAGAAGAAGTTTTTCATGACAGAGGCTTTATTTGTAGGTGTATAATGGAAGCTTTTCTGAGCCTTACAGGAATCCTAGAGCGACCATCCATATCACGAGCGGAGTTGCCGTAAGTCCCTATTTATTCACACTTTTTTAAAAAAAAATTTGTAACTGCAGTTGTTGCCGTCTTAATAGCAAGTAGGGCACAGAAAGAGCCCCCCCCCTATAACTGTTAAAAATTGAACTAAAAACTACACATACATAAAATAAAACATTTTTAAGATGCGCAAGAATTCAACACATTTTTATCTCCCCAAAAGCTCAATGCACATAAAATAAAGCATTTTTAAACTATGCATAATTTTTTTTATAAAAACTTTAGATACTAACCAGTTTCAATCTGCAAATAATAAAATAATTTTCAAAACCTAGAAGCAAATTAAAATAATTAAACTAAAACAAAACTTAAGGGTCGTATAACAAATAAAAAAATTCAAAAGGTATGAATTATTTCACACACATGAATAAACACACATGAACACACAGCTAATAAAAGGTATGAATTATATACACACTAAAGTCAGTTGTTAATCTTTCTAATGTTGTGCATCTTTCAATGCACACCAGACCTAACCAGTTTAAAAGTTGCTCTCCCATAGTGCTGTGTCATTCTAAACTCTTTCAACTATTACTTTATTTAACTAATTATAAATACTAAAAAGAGTGGGTGTGGTGGTCGAACATATTTAGAGAGTTGAGTACCTGAAAACTTCATTTTAACGTAGAAAAATAAATTTCTGTTTACTTTTTAAGTTTTCCTGGTGATAAACTATTTAAATGATGGGTGTTTGCATGATAATCAATCACTATTTATAGAAAAAATTCGCACTTTTTACACGGGAATATATTTATTTAAAAAAATATATAATGCAATGTTTTTGTTCTTAGTTTTTTATAATACAACATTTAAAACGTAAGATTCTCGAGGAACCCGAGTGCTTTAGGCCCCCGGGCACTACCCGGGTGTGCCTTGCGTGAAGACGGTACTAATTGTTACCAAAGAATTGAGAATTTCTACTAAAGACAAAATAAACTGGTTTTTCCATTCAAAATGATTTCTGTTCATATAACTAAAAGTTGGCGATAAAACAAAGTTTACCTTTAAAACAATAAAAAAAAAGTTTTAAAAAGTAGCGTAAAAAGCTTGAAATGATATATATATGTGACTCATATGCTGGTTAGCTCCATCAAAACGTCCTCCTCGCAGGCAAATTTCTCTCTACACTTGATCCAGGAGTTCCCTTGTCTTCTGGATTGGGTTCAAAATCACAAAGCCACGGATTTGAACATGAGTAGCTGTAAACCCATAAAATTGGGTCGGCTGTTCAACGACGGATATAAAACAATATGTGTTCCTAGTACTGAAATATCGCAGTTTGATTATAGTTTTACAGCAATTGTATTCGTTTCAAAAATTCTGTGCAGTCCTCTATTCATCGGCCATTTAATTCCCGAATTTCTGTGCACACTCTTTACAGCTTTCACTTAAGGAATGGTGTTTCTTTCATTTTTATGCAATTTTGTTTCCGAGATTTTGAGATCAGTTCATCATCTACCTTCATTTAAAGATTACTAATTTGTAAACAAAGAATTTCCACAGTAATCACTACATTAAAGAAAGGTTGTGTGTTTCCAGGGTAACCAGGAAGGGACGAGCAATTTCAGGGGTGTCCGTCAACCTTGGAGTGCTTTTGGAAGTACAGAGAAGAGTTATACTCGCCTCATTCCTTACAACAGATCTCACCTCTTCCTGCAACAGGTGTCCGCCGAAAAGGTGTGTCTCCTTTATAAATTATTTTTTAAATTTTTTTTTTAATTGTTATAAGAATATTTTCAATTGTAAAACATGAAGTTCTTCAAACTACGTTTATTCAAATGATAAAATTCGAAATTGAATCCAACTAGTTTCTGAGAGAGAAAACTTTAAAAATGTCGTATTTAAATTGCTTGATAACAATTCGGTGGTTGGAATTTTATTTTTAAAACTACAAACTCTGGATCGATGGGAAAATTTCTTTTTTTAAAGTCTCGCAGCACTGTAGACTGATCCCAGTAGAACACTAAAATCAAGAATGAGTGGTTGCGGTCTGTGAGGGGGTGGGCGAACACTTTGGTCAGACTATGTATGGACCAGGGGTGCGCGGATTTCCTTAAACATAAAGTGCTCGAATTTGGGATACCAAAGTGGAGAGAATCGCAATTAGACTGCAGAGGGTCATAATTGTGATGGCGCCGATAGCCCATTGTGTGCTTCTAGTGCAATGCAAACTAAGTACAGTACAACACTATTTTGGGGACCCAATAAATAGAGTGTTGTAGAGGGATATATTGTTATATCGAGGGTCTGCATATTTTAGAGACACAATAAGATTTTTTTTTTTGAATTTTAATGTTATATATGTATTAACTATAAATGTATTTACATAGTAGACAAAAAAATTAATTTGCAGAGTGCTAATTATGGTTAAATATTTAAAACAATTAAAATAAACAAGTGGACCCCCCCCCTGCTCGCTAACACTCGCCAACCGCCGAAAATTGCTACGCAATCTTATATGGTTTGCTTCGCAAACCAAGCTCGCTTCGGTCGCTACTAACTTAGGTACATTGCAAGTGCACAAAATTTTAAGAATTTAAAACAATCATTCAAATCCATATAACAACTTTTTTTTTTTAAAAAAAATTATATCTTTTTAGTAAATACTAAGTCATTAAAATAAATTTGAATTCAAATAAATGACATGCAATTCGTTAAACCTATTAGAAATGTGCTATAGTATAAAATCTTAAGATAAAATTTCTGAAACTGATATCTCCTTAAAAAAGGTGAAAATTTTGGCTATAATTAATCGTCAAATTAATTTTTAATATATAAATTCGTGAAAAAAAGCGCTTTCGACAAAATACTAAAATAGAGATATATAGATAAAGAGTACTCACTTCTGCCTAGCTTAATAGGAAGAGATCACATTTGGTGAGAATACTCTCTCTGGTTATTTCAGGTTCCGTTTTTAAAAGCGCTATATGTTCAGCCACCTAAGCTAGATTTGGCAAGTGACACTTTTAGCGGCAATCATTGGTCGATTTTATATCGTTGCCATTCGAGGAGTTGTAATGAGGCTTTTTTTTGTCTCGCCGTGTAAGAGAAATATATATATAGATTCAGAAAATAAGATAGTAAACATACCTGAAAACCGTTTTTATTGAAAGTAATGATATTTTTGTTTGTCTATTCCATTTTTTTGACTGCCAAGTCTACCAACAAAGTATGAATTGCATTGAGTCCTAATGATTTTCGTTCATGAAGGGTGCCCCCCCCCCACCCTCAACAAAAAAAATGCTTCTTTTAGGGGTTCTCAGTGATGTTTGTGGTCATTTGTGACTTACGATCAGCTTTTAACATGAAGGAAATGAAATCAGATAGGAATGCTATATCTCCTTAAGAGGCAATTCTATAAGGATGGAAGCTCTTGGGGTGGTCAGAAGGGAGTCTTCTCCTGTCAGTAAAGATGAAAAAAAAGGGCAAAATATGATAAAATAAGATTTTTTGCATTATTTGAAAGCCAATCATAAATGGAGAAAATGAGGTTAAAGTTTGGATAAAAGAATCGTTTATTGCTTCAGAGAATACCGTAACATTGAGAGGAGCATAACATTACTTCATATGCAAGTTCGTCTGGAGCACGAAATAAAGGGAGTTTCTGCTGCATTGGATATCGTAGTAGCGAGAGTTCACTAGACTACTACCACTACATATTTTTCAATTATTATTATTAAGAAATGAAATTTAATTTTTTATGACTATTATTAAATAAAAATTGTTTCTGATTTAGGATCACTGAAAATTTCACGCTGTTTAAGAAAAAAAAAAGAATTTTATTATTTCCTTTTTAAATTTTGCTGATATTGTTTTTCAGAAAGGCAAGATAATCGACAGTCTTTTCATTATTAAGGAGAAGAATGGACTTTTCCCCCAAGCATCGAACAAGAGAAGAAAACGAATATTTTTCGGTTGATAATCTCACTTTTTATTTTTAGGAAACCAAAGAATATGTATATCTACTCAAATTGTATAGTTTAAAATAAATTGATGCCATCGTAATTTATTCGTCGTCTATTTTAATATTTATTGTACAGTGTCCAAAATAAAAGACGGGCTATCTTGAATAACCATTGATCCAATGATTGGATCTTCACGTTCTAGGACTCAATCTCAATGGATTGAGGGGATAACCTCAAATATGTTAATTAATTATTTGGCGATATTTCAACATGCTTCTATGATTATCCCTCGTTAACTCGGGTAATAATAGGAAAAATCGGTTAAAAATAGGACAAATTAAAATATAAGAAACATAGAAAATGCCCCATGAAGTGAAAAATCTACATAAAATTCAAAATATTAAATCTATCATCAATGTCCTATCCCTGGTGTAACATTATAAGTTTTAATCGCTGTGAACTCAATTTATTGCCCTATTAACAGAGAAATTTCGATCGCTTGATTATCGATAGAAACTAACGGGCGGCAAATCTAAAAGGAGAAATTATTAAAATGAAATATAATTTTTATGAACTATATTTTTAAGGAGATCAAAGAAAGAAAAAAAAATCAACAAAAAATTTGTGAAACTTGTATTACGATCAGTGGTTACCCATGGGTCAAGTGTTTTTTCTTTCTGGATTAACTCCGTTAAACATTTAAAATCATGGGTTGCTGTCTCCATGGATGTTTGTCGTCTGATCTGTTTTCATACCTCCTGCCTATATGCACGTGTTTCAAAATACTTTTCCTCCTCCTTCAGCATTCATATTTACATTGAATTCACCGTCAAACCAGTATTTAATTATACGTTAATAATAAAAAGAATATAAATTATTATTGTGCAAATACATTAAAAATGCCTGCTGCTGAAAATAAAATAAAAAACAGCAGCAGTTGCCATAGCAACGCATGCAATGACGACGCATGCGCACTATTTACTATTTCTCTTGAACACGGTTGAAAAGTGTGTAGAAGCCATCCAATCCAAACCAAGACACATTTTACGAATGGGTAATAATTAAAATTTTCACTGCCTTAAAACGAAAAATCTGTCACAATAGAATATAGATTTTGCAAAGGGTTTGTCTTACGCTACCCGTCATGCTAACCTTATCTTTTTACCCCCTTAGCGATTGGTTCGATTGGCTCCTGCATACACAGTGAAGCTTCAATAGCGCTAATGGAAACGCTTTTCCAAAACCTCATCAATACTTTTCAAGTCTTGAAGAAAATATATATCTTTTTTAATCCCCTACGTAAGCCCAATAATGTTGATAATACGTTTATAGATACAAATGCAAATAATACTATTGCAAATGCAAATTAAGACTAAATTAGTCTAGCTTCAGAATACAGCGTCATTTGATGTTCATAAAATCGAAACTCATTCCTACTTTCTATGAAGTGTTTCTTTACCTCTATTTTTCTTTCTAGTAACGTTACATTAAAATATTTCGTAGTATTAATAATTAATTTATAAAAAGAAAAATTAATTTAATTTTCAAGCCCTTCTTTTGTGAGAAGGTGAGTAAAATTTTACTCACTGTAAAGGTCATGTTGTTGTAAGCGTATGCAGAGGGGTGCGAGTGTTCTTGTTTTCCAGTGGCGCCATCTATGGCCAAGAATTCGACTTCTGCCACATCCGTTTATAGGGTGTGACCCATTCATACATCCATTCATTCATCCACAGATCGTAATTTTGATTTTACGATTCATCTCCAATTCAGAACATGGAGGACTTTGTGACCCGACAGATTTAACGTGCACCAGTCACCATTTACTACACGGGGAGTCATCAGTCGGTGGGGATCGAACCCACAACATCTGCCCAGTGTCCTACAAACCAGGCTATCCCGGTCCGCATTCATTCATTTGATCATTTCTCATTGACCTTATATCTATTTTTAAGAAAGCAGAATTTATATATTCGGTATTTATAAGCGCATAATATGGCCTTTGCAGTGGCTGGGATAGCCTGGCCGGTAAGGCGCTGGGCCCATGTCCGAGAGTTCGTGGGTTCGAACCTAGGTGGCCGAAGACTGCCCGTGTAGTAAAATGGTGACTGATGCAAGTTAAATCTGTCGAGTCGCAAAGTCCTCCATGTTCCCAAAACAAATCAATCCTCTGGGAGTACTGATCCAGGAGTTCCCTTGTCTTCTGGGTTGGGATCAAAATGACAAGGATACGGAGTTGAACATTGGTAGTGGTAAACCCAGAATTGGGTCGACTGTTCAACGACGGATATAAAAATAAAAATGAATGAATGCATAACGCACAACATAATTTCTTAGAGTAGTCCTCTCTTCTTGAACAAAAGCAAATCCTTACTGTTACCCAAACAAAATCCTTCATTGGTATATCGTGTTTTCTGAATTAATCTGAAGATGGCAGCACTGATGCGGAAATCCACATTTAAAAATGGAGAAAATTGATATGAAGAGCTTTTGATTCATATAACCAACACTCATCACGAAGGAACTGAAAGCATTTTATAGTAACATTTGAAGTAACATACTAACTAATCCGTTCACTTGTTTCAGAAAAGATGTAGTTATAGCATAGCAATATAACAGTAAACGTTAAATGACTAAATAAAAAAAGAAAATAACTCGAAAAACAGTGGTAGTCAAGAGTGAAACAAAAAAAATATATTGAGAAGTTTCTTTTTTTTCATTTTTATTTATTTTTTTATTATTATTTTTTATTTTCAGCTCTTCCATTTTTTTTTTCATTTTGTGTGGGCAAATGTACGTTTTCTGTGTCAAACAATTTCAGTTTTCCTCACTCACGTCTGGAAAATGATGCTTGTGAGAATGGGCGCCTATTTTTGAGCGCTTGCAATATGTCGACTTCTTTAATTATTTCATGTCGTTCACTTTCTATTTTTTTTCTAGATTATTTATTTATTATTTAATTCTTGTTTGCCTACGAGCATTAGTTAACACTAGGTTTACGGTACGCGTCATTTTGACGCATTTCGAATTTTATAAGGAAAATTGCAATGCCCATTTGCATTTTTGTTTTATCTCTTGTAATGACTTTTATCCATTGATCGAGGTAAATATATATTGAAATCTATTTTCTTCAAAAGCGTTGAAATATTGAAATTCTCTTTGTAGTATACCTATCTCTACGGATATGCGTCAATTTGACGCGATTGTAATTTAGACAAAATTTTGAGTAATCACAAACGCAGAATGTCAATTTATGTCAGAGTGTAAAATTTTGAAGGTTTCATTTGCTTAGTACGAGTATTGAGAAATAAACTGCCAGAATATTTCATAAATATATATCTCATATTTTTATTTCTTTCTCTTATAGTATATAATTACATTGCTTTCAAAGTGCAGAGATGCCAGCTGCTTCGGACACGCCAAAATATACTTTAAAAAATGGTAAATAACTACCAAGTAAATTTGCAAATATATATATACATATAGTGTATGAGAGCAACAATATCACCATTTTAACTCTATTATACGCACTTAGAAATACATGCGTAGATATTTATGCATATTATGCCACGTTGTTGTGAGTCCCCAATTTTTTGTATAATTATTTCCAGCGGTATGTCTCAACTCAGACAAGTATTAAATTATAACATACTAGGGGCTACCATGCCAAAAGAAATAATTACTCACAAAATTTGAAGCCCACTCACTATGTGGCATAATGCTATGTGGCATATGTAAGTATGTATGCATAAATATGTTGTAAACAAAGTTTTCCTTACATTAAATTCGTAAAATGACAGCCCTATGAGATGTAAAAGAAAAAGCGAATTGTAAAGATAATCTAGCGCAGATGCCATTCGCAAATACTGATTGTTTGGATACATAGTGGATAATAAAAACAAATTTTTTCTTTCTGTTTCCTTAAAAAAGTATTGAATATGTTAATGATATTTTGAAGTATTTTTAGTGAAACAATGCTTCTTTTACTTACGCATTTACTTATTTAAGCATGACTCTCTCAACACGTCAAATTTTCACTCTATAGTTACATTTCTGTAGTCGGCAGAGCGGCCCGTAGGGTATTTCTTAATATTTATAGCTTAATTGCAAATAATTTCCATTAAACGATGCATTTTTTAATTTTATTTTTCCATTACTTTTTCTCTACACATAGATTCAGCAAAATAAAATATAACGTTAAGGTGATTTTATAAAACAGAGGCGAGAGCTGCTCTTTCATTTTTTTTTATAATGTAGAGACAAACTTTCACGAGATATAATATTTTTTATTTATTTTTATTCGATGATAATTATGAAACTCACGTTATAAACAATTTCTAAATTGGCTTTATTGTAAAATTTTAATAAAATTCGTTCGAGAACATGTTTTGATTTCAATCGGCGAAAGAAAACATACATTTTCTTTATGCAAAAATAGTCTTTCTGAATTGCATACTCTTCATCTTATTTATGATATTTAGATGCAGATTTGTTTTATGCCATTCTTCAATTCCATTCGATTGAGAAAGAAAACAGGTTACTTTAAAGAAATAAATAAATAAAGAACACTTTTATCGGTCACGAAATAGCGTCGCTTCTTTGTAAACATTGGATGAATTGGAATGAATGGTTTTTGAAAAGAAAGTAAAATCTGGGTGTGAAAAACAAATGTTGTGAGCTTGTTTTAATAATGTGTCTGATCAAAGAAATATCGCCAATTTATAATTGCAGCTACGGCTATGAATCTTGAGTAGCCCAATCAATGAAAATCAAAAATTTTCTATTATTGCTTAATGTTGTGAAATCAACTGAAGAATTGCTAAAATAAATAAATAAAAACGAGAATTATTATTCCACCCAATTTTTTGTTGTTGCTTTATTTGAAGAAGTTGGAAAAATTCTTAACATTTAGAAAATGATTTGATTTGTTCATTTACGTCGCACTAGAGCTACACATTGGGCTATTGGCGACAGTCTGGGAAATATCCCTGAGGATGAACCGAAGACATGCCATCACAATTTTGATCCTCTGCAGAGGGGATGGCACCACTCTAGCTCTTTAACANTGCGCGCGAAGTCGAGCACTTTACGGTAGAACAGTTT